TTATTTAATGCCACGGGAAAAAGTACTGAAAAATTACGAAAAACCGCTTAAAATGGGATTTTAATTTCTAACAATTTGTTTATCACCGTAGCAACGAATAAAAAAAAGGCAGGTAAGTGGATGTCGCTCAGCTGTACAGTAGGTTACAAGTTGGTCATTGTTTAATGGATTGTATTAAACTTGAATTCAATGATATAATATCATTGTATAAGAAAAACGATTCTGAACGGAGACGGTTTGTCAGTCTGTATATTTTATATTGTCATTAATTATTTTATTTATTTAATTATTATTTTTTTTATTCGTTGCTACGAGCTACGGTGATAAACAAATTGTTAGAAATTAAAATCCCATTTTAAGCGGTTTTTCGTAATTTTTCAGTACTTTTTCCCGTGGCATTAAATAACTATTGAGAAAATCGAAAAATGACCTCTCTAAAGTACCATCTTGGTCCAATTTGCTAAAAGATAAGGTACTATATGTTGAAATCAAAGCACTCCTTCTGGTAGAAATTTTGTATACAGGATAAAAAAAAAAAATAAAAAAAAAAAATAAACACCATTGTAAAACCACTAGCTTCCTTGCTCCGCTCAGAATCTAAAATAATAATTAAATAAATAAAATAATTAATGACAATATAAAATATACAGACTGACAAACCGTCTCCGTTCAGAATCGTTTTTCTTATACAATGATATTATATCATTGAATTCAAGTTTAATACAATCCATTAAACAATGACCAACTTGTAACCTACTGTACAGCTGAGCGACATCCACTTACCTGCCTTTTTTTAAATCAGTTCAGCCCACTGTATTAACAATCGAAAAATAAATAAATAAAATAAAATATATTATAATATAATATAATATTATATCAAAATAAATAATATATAAGAAAATATCCTTAAGTTCCTATATTTTATTGTAATGTTGAAATACAATGTTGCAAGTTTGATACATTTTAAAAGTATAATGATAAATAACATAATAGTAAGTACTTAAGCTTTTAATTTAAAAAATAAATTTAATTTATAAATTAAAATATACACTTATAAAATTGTCCAGATTATTTTTATCAAAATTATATTGCAGAAGTCGTTTTGAACATTAAACGTTCAATGAATGTTTAAGTATAAAGATTCATATCTATTTTTTATGAATGTCATTCTAACTTTATTTATGAATTATGTATGATATGTTACAGACCTGGATAAATTAAAAACGCAGCTATTATTTTCACATACATGATGTTGGTATTTTGTAGGTATTATATTTCTTGGAGCATTTCAATATGAATTTACCAATTACAATACAGGAAATAGGAATAAAAATGTTAATATATTATAATTATAGAACATTGCATTATTACAAAAGTATTATAATTGTAGGTATTAAAAAAATAATATTTTTTGAGAACGGGTTGAAAAAACATAATTTTATTACGTTATTACGGTAAGTATAACTATGTTAGTATCTTCACAATGCTAACTGCAGGGGATCAATTTATAGTGTAACAATGTTATGTTTTAATTTAAAGTCAATAATTGGTTTGTTATGAATTTTAAAATGTACCTAATTGATTCATAATCAACGAGGGTTTTTTTAAAAAAAAAACAAGATAGGATATAATTTTATGATAAACCAAGTACCTATTTACATATATATTTCAAAGCAGTTATATCTAATATTAATAAAATATATTTTAGACATTTTCTAAAAGCGGAAATACAAACTTAAAACACAATGAAGTTTTAAACGTTTCAATGTAATTACCAAACGTAATTACAAATGTCATTTTATCACAAAATACCTACTGTAAATTGATAAAAAAAAGATGTGCTACGTAAAAATATGAAACATTTGAGGTTTTCCAGTAGGTTCAAAACCTAAAATATACATATTATATGTAAGCCATTTTATTATTTACCATCAAAATCTAAATCATTGACTTTGAAATGAATGTTATAATTATCTTAAGTTAAATTCATGACTAAAGTTTAGATAATTTAAAAAAATTGTAATATTTTTAATATTATTAGCACTGCGCTCTTTGTTTAAACTATGAGATTTAAAAAAAAAAATGTTTGAATATTTAATCATTTGTACTGTTTTTGTTCATTAGGTACATAATTATAAAAATAACTAAAACACGTACCAATTAGTGTATAATACATATAAATAGATTAATTATTTATTATAATAGCAAAATATTGTGTACCGGGCCGAGACACGTGCAGTGCACATACCAACCAAACGAGTTTTTAAATTTGGTTTTTCTAATACATGTTAACTAAAATGAAAAAAAAAAAGTAGGGAGACGATTTTCTGTCGGGATTGAGTAGAATAATTTAACGTGAACGACGCTCCGAACGTTTTAAAAGCACACGACCATAGTCGGACGGAGTGGAGTTTGAAGTTTGTCGAGGTTGACAATAGTCGAATTCAATTTATCCGATAAAAATCGTACAAAATGACTGCTAATATTTTGAACATTGTTTGCGGTCTTGTGTGCGTTGTCATCGCGTGTGTAAATGCAGCTCCTTCATCGAAATTACGTTCGTATATAAGTTTATAACATTTATATTTATATTATCAAAATATAATAATATATTGATATGTAAAATAATATCAATTGATGGTAGAAACTTGCTCTGTAGAATAAACAGACCGAAAAATTCGGTATTACATTAATACTTATTTACAA